TTGCTGCATATGCATAAAGATTTGAATTTGATACCCTGGACTGATGGGGAATGTACTGTGTATGCTTATCTTATTGATTGTTAAATAAAATACTGTTTGGTCAATGAGACAGAAAGTTAGACAGGGCTAGGAGTCAAAGAGGATTCTGGGAAATGTAGGAGAAGTGGTGATCCAGGCAGGAAGTGACATAGCAAGGAGACTCATATTTAAGGGAAGGAGAAATAGGAAGGGTCCCTTTTTCCCCTTGCTCCTCTAGCAGCACAATGTGATCCACCAGCAAGGAGGGACACCAATAAGGTGTCCAATAAGATAAGTCTTATAAAATATAGAGACTTATGATAATTAAGACTGAGCTAACAGATGAGGCCAAACAGCTTTGAACCTAATACAAGTTTCTGTGTATTCATTTGGGCCTAACTCGGGCAGGCAGCTGGCATAAACCACACATGTGGCAGTGGGACTCAGTGGCTTTTGGCGGAAAGATTTATCCTAACACTGGACCAATAGAGATAATGGGTGTGACCACACTTGTAATCCTGTAAATCAGGAGATGTAGATAAGCACATGCATATTCAGAGAGCCTCATATCCAACTGAGAGTTGCTGTCTCATAAAAATAAGATGAATGGCTCCAGAGTGGTACTCTGATGTTGATCTCTGGCCTTTATAGACATGTGTATGCATGAGCACATACTCACAAATACCTACAGACACACACACCTACACACACACACTTTCACAGACACATAGAGAATTCTGTAATAATTTCAGTAGAAAAAAATATGTCCAATTGTCAGGATCATAGATGAATGTCTAGTATATTAATGTTAAGATTCATGAGAAAATTTGTAAAAAACTGAAACCTAAATTCAATGAAAAATCAATGGGTGACATTTAAAACCAATGGAAACTTGAGATTCCCTGTGTTTTAGACTTTCCATGATTCTGATTTCTTATGATTTAGAAACTACATTTTACACAGTAGGACTTTCTGGAAAATACATTCAAGCACAAGACTTTGAGTCATGCTCTGGTTTTGTTTTTCATTTCTTTCCTTTTTAAAAAGTTATTTTAGTGCATGGAACTAGAAGAAACCATCCTGAGTGAGGTAACCCAGTCACAAAAAGACAAATATGGTATGTACTCAATCATATATGAATTTTAGACATAGAGCAAAGGATTACCAGCTTATATTCCTCTTCACCAAAGAAACTAGGAAACATGAAGGACTCTAAGGGATAAATGGTCCCCAAGAATGAAAGTGGCATGAACTCCTGAACTAATTGGGAGCAAGAGGGTGGGGGGGGAGCTGCTACAATAAGAGCAAGAGAAGAGGAGTAGAAGAGAGGAAATGGAGGGGTAGAAATATTGAGTTGGGGGAAGAATAGAGGAGAGAGAGCAGGATGAGAGATACCATATCAGAGGGAGCCACTATAGGTCTGAGAAGAGATCTGGAACCAGGGAGATGTCCAGAGACCTACAAGGATGACACGATCTGACAATCCACGCAATGGTGGAGAGGATAACCTAAAAGCCCTTCCCCTAAAATGAGATTGATGTCTTCTTTTTATGCCATCCTAGAGCCCTCATCCAGTGGCTGATGGAAGCAGAGACAGACATCCACAGATATACACTGAGCTGAAATCAGGAATTTAGTTGAAGAGAGGGAGGAATGAAGAGCGAAGGGCTCTGTACCAGGTTGGAGAAACCCACAGGAACAATTGGCCTGAACAAGGGAGAACACATTGACCCCAGATGCTGTCAGGGAG